TGGGTTTTCTCCAGGTATTCCTGTTTCCTCCCACAGACCAAAAACATGCATGTTAGACTGATTAGTAACTAAAAATTGTCTCTAGGTGTGAGTGAGAGAGTGAATGGTTGTTTGTCTCTATGTGTCCCTGTGATGGACTTGCGACCCATCCAGGGTGTACCCCGCCCCTTGCAGGGTGATTGCTGGACATGGGCGACCCCTGTGACCCAAAATGGAAGAAGCGGGTAAAAGATAATGGATGGATGGTCAGCCATCAGGTGAAAAGAAGGAACCCAGACCCAGACCAGTGGTCATTCCGTATGTTGAGGGAGTATCAGAGAAACTGAGACGTTTATTTTCTAAACATAACGTCCCAGTGGCTTTTAAACCTCAAAATACATTATGGCAAAGACTGGTTCATCCCAAAGATCCAGTCCCCCAGCTCAAACAGAGTAATATTGTGTATGCTGTTCAGTGTCAGGACGGCTCTGATCAGTCTTACATTGGGGAAACTAAACAGCCACTGGCCAAAAGGATGGCCCAGCACAGAAGAGCAACAACATCAGGCCAGGACTCTGAGGTCTACACTCATCTCTACGCCAGCGGTCACTCTTTCAAGATTGAAGATGTTCACATCCTGGATAGAGAGGAACGATGGTTTAAGAGAGGAGTAAAGGAGGCCATCTTTGTGAAAAGAAACCGTCCATCATTAAACAGGGGTGGAGGCCTCCGGGTTCAACTGTTCCCCTCTTACAATGCTGTTACTGCTAGTATCACTCAGCCCTCTGTGAATAGTAAACAGCCATCAGGGTGTTAATGATCCATTGTTAGGCTGATGGTCCTTCTTGATCATGTGAGCAGTTGGTTTTGGTTGTCAGCAGCAAAACTGGTTGATCCACTCTGAGAAGGTGCTATTTATAAGACTGAGCTGCATACAGCACCTCAGACCGAGGAAGTCTTTCAGATGAAAGAGTAAACGTTTCTACAATTTTTTTTTGTTTTTTGCTTTGTTTTTGAATGTCCAGAAGACCATATTTAACTTCTTTAGATGTAGTCAGCACATATTTCCAAACACTATAACCTATAAGTGTCAAGTTTGAGTTTTGGATTCAGAATCAGTCAGACAGGAGTACAAAAGAACAATTTTTATTTATTTGTCTGCTGGATGGAGGGGTCAGGATCAGCAGTGTTAACAGGTCCTCACAGGCTGAGAGTCACCTGTCAGCAATGACATCACTGGCAGAGCAGCTGCAGTATGTGGTTTGTGGGGCGGGGGTGGGGGGTGGGGGAGTCCAAGAGCAGGGTCTAGATAATGAAGCAGGGGTCATACACGGGGAAACAGAGAGCATAAACCAGAGCCAATTCGTAATCCATAATCGTAGTCATCGAGGGAAAGCAGAGTCGTGCAGTCAATATCCAAAGAAGGACAGGCAAGGCAAGGAAACCATAGTACAGGCATGAGGTCGAGACAAGGCAAGGCAAACAAAGTTGTGGCATGAAACTATGGATGGCTTGATATCAGGGACCATTAAAGGATTAATAATTCGGTTCTGGTGGAGTGTGAGCATGGAGCTTATAAAGGGTGCAGAGCAGGAGAACTAGATGAGAGCTGATTGCTGTGACTGAGCAGAGGAGGCATGTTGCAGGTAGACAGGAGCTGAGGAAGGGCGATAGGCATTACTAAGCTGGGGAACAGAAATTTTGGTAAGAGGGACATAAACTAGGCAGGAGGGGGCAGGTGACATGGGCAGGAGAGCACAGCATGAAGACAGGATGGCAGGATGGGCAGACACGTGGCATGAGGAGCAGGGACGTGAGCTGATGGGGTGGGGGGGGGGGGGCGGCACTGACCATGACAATAAGAGTGGAGGAAGGAGTACGCAGGTAGACTACATTCCGTGTAAAAGAGGAACCCTGATGGAGATTGGAGACTGTAAGATTGTGGCAAAAGAAAGTGAGGCTAGACAGCATCTGATGGTTATGTGTAGAATGATTGTTGTTGTGAAGAAGCGAAAAAGAGTAAAATCAAAGAAGAAGACCAAATGGTGGATGCTGAAGAAGGAAGAATGTTGTGAGAAATTCAGAGAGGAGCTGTTAAAGGCTCTGGGTGGTAAGAAAGAGCTTCCAAATGACTGGGCTACTACAGCAACAGTAATTAAAGAAACAGGTAGGGATGTGCTTGGTGTGTCATCTGGACAGAGAATGTATGATAAGATAACCTGGTGGTGGAATAGTAATGTGCAGGAAGCTATTCAAAAAAAGAGGTAAGCCAAAAAGAAATATGACAATGAGAGGACTGAAGAGAAGGATTATAAGGAGATGTAACATAGAGCAAAGACAGAGGTGGCAAAGGTAAAGTAGGTGTATGATGAGTTGTATGGGAGGCTGGACACTAAAGAGGGCGAGAAGGACTTGTACCGATTGGCGAGACAGAGGGATCAGGCTGGAAATAATGTGCAGCAGGTTCAAATTGTAAAAGATAGGAATGGTAATGTTCTAGCAAGTGAGGAGACCATGACAAGAAAATGGAAGGAGTATTTTGAGGAGCTGATGAATGAAGAAAATGACAGAGAAAGAAGAGTAGAGGTCATAGAAACTGTGGATCAGGAAGTGGGAAAGATTAGTGAGGGTGAAGTCCGGAAAGCTCTGAAAAGAATGAAGAAGGGGAAGGCAGTATGACCTGATGACATACCAATGGAGATTTGAAAATGTCTTGGAGAGATGGCAGTGAGGTTTTTGACTCAAATATTCAATGGCATATTTGAAGGTGAGAAAATGCTTGAGGAATGGAGAAAAAGTGTACTGGTGCCCAGTTTTAAGAACCAGGGTGACGTATAGAGTTGTAGCAACTACAGGGGAATTAAGTTGATGACACACACAATGAAGATCTGGGAGAGAATTATGGAAGCTAGACTTAGACAAGAGGTGACTATTTGTGAGCAGAATTATGGTTTCATGCCAAAAAAAGAGCACCACAGATGCCATCTTTTCTTTGAGCATGTTGATGGATAAGTACAGAGAGGGCCAGAAAGAACTCCGTTGTATCTTTATGGATTAAAAAAAAAAGCATATGACTGGGTGATGAGGGAGGAGGTGTGATATTACATGAGGAAATCTGGAGTGGCAGTACACTGTATGTTAGACCAGTACAGGACATGCATTAGGACAGCAGGACATTGGTGAGATGTGCTGTAGGAGTGACCGATAGCTTCAAGGTGGAGGTGGGATTGCATCAAGGACCGGCTCTGAGCCTGTTCTTGTTTGCTCTGGTGATGGACCGACTAACAGATGAGGTCAGGCAAGAATCCCTGTGGACTATGATGTTTTCTGTCACGCTCAGCGGCCCCCGCTGCCCCCCCATCTGCCTAAGCCTCTGCTCTTCATATCACAGCCCCTGCTTTAAGATCATTCACGTTTTTTCCTGCCTCAGTTTTCTGTTTATTTCATCCTGTTTGGTCCTGCACTGCCTATCACCCATTTTCTGCTCCTGTCACTCTCTCTCAGCAATCTGCACTCATCTGCTGCACCCTGTCTCTGCAATCATCACTCACCTGCCACACCTGTTCAGCTCACTACTTAAGCTCCACTCTCACTCTCCTCAGTGCCAGATTATTGAAAGCCTCACAGCAAGTAAATTATCCAGCAGTCCTCGTCCACAGTTTCTTTGTTTATGACCACAGCTTTGTTCTTGACTCCTCGCCTTGTCTTGCCCTTGTCTGGATACCACGCCTGCAGCTTACACGCTCCTGGCTCTCGACCCCTGCTACGTCCCTGGATTCTGTTTCCTGCCCAGCCCTCCAACGTTCTTTGTCTCAGCTCTGCTCCTGTCACAGAAGGTTAGTGACGTGCACACCACCTCTCAGCTCCCAGAACCTTTTTGCAGTCACTAACCTGTCTGTCTTCATAGATTGGACCAGAACTGAGGCTCAGATCCTTCAGACGAACGCCTTTAATAAAATAAAACCTTTTATTTTAATGTTGTCCTGAGTCAGGTGTTGTGCCGATCCATACAGACTCGTTACAGTTTTCAGATGCCATTGTGATCTGTAGCGAGAACAGCGATCAGGTGGAAGAGAACTTGGAGAGGTGGAGATATGCACTTGAAAGAAGGAATAAAAGGCAGCCGTAGTAAGACAGAGTATGTGTGTATCAATGAGAGGGAGGCCGTTGGAACAGTGAGGCTATAAGGAGCAGAAGTCACAAAGGTGCAGAACTTCAACTACTTGAGGTCCACTGTCCAGGAAAAGTGGGAATGTAGAATAGATGTGAAAAAGAGAGTACAGGCAGGATGGAGTGGATGGAGAAATTTTTCTGGAGTGACTTGTGACAAAAGGGTGTCAGCAAAGGTCAAGGGAAAAGTTTACAAGACAGTGGTGAGACCAGCTATGCTGTGTGGTCTGGAGACAGTGGCATTAACAAAAAGACAGGAGAAAGAAATGGAAGTAGCAGAAATGAAGATGTTGGGGTTCTCCTTAGGAGTGACAAGGATGGATAAGATTAGGAATGAGATCATCAGAGGTACAGCACAGATTGAACAACTGGGAGATAATGTTAGAGAGGCCAGACGGATATGGTTTGGACATGTCCAGAGGAGGGACAGTGGATATTGGTAGAAGGATGCTAGAAATGCAGCTGCCAGGAAAAAGACAAAGAGGAAGGCCAAAGAGAAGATATATGGTTGCAGTTAGAGAGGACATGGAGGTAGTTGGAGTGAGGACAGAGGATGCAGAGGACAGAGTGAGATGGAGAAGGAAGACTCGTGGTGGTGACCCCTGAAGATGGAAAAGTCAAAAGAAGAAGAAGAAGACTGGATCAAGACTCAATACAGTTTTGCTTTTAGTTACCAGTTAGAAGTGCATATAAAGCCCTTTCTACAGGCTTTTGTCTACAAGTAAAATTTTCACAAATTAAATCCTTCTGTTTCCTGAAACCCAGATCCAACTACTATCAAAAAGTAGCAACCCACTAAGAAAAACATTTTCTTGACTTGTGTACATATCCCCACACACACAAGATCCTACCATCAAGCTCACAACCGTAGAACTCCATCCGAACTGTGGCTGCGTTGTGCCAGGTAAGTGGGTGGAGCCTAATATACCGCCCAATTACTGGAGGAAAAAAGGTATTTATCTTTGTCTCATAGGTTGCCTTGTTTCCAGAAAATACCTGGATAAATGAGAAAAGAAAAGCATAGAAGTACTGTATAAACAAGGGATTGTATCCTTTACACTTTGAAAGAAGGTAATCAAACTTCCTTTACCTTCCAGAACTCTCTGCTGTCACCATTATAGTAAATCCATTTTCGGCGGTCGTTGCTGTACGAGATGGAAAAGGTTTTCACATACTGGGACTGAAACAACTGCTTAGCTCCTTGTATGGCCACCTGGCTGATCACAACTGGTCGCTGGAAGTCCACCTGTACCAAATGATCAACGAAAGCGGATAATAGTTGTGTACAAATATGAGAGCATTGCAAACATCCAAGCACCTAATGCTCATACCTGAATCCAACTGGTGTCCTTCTCAGTGCTCCATGCATTGTATTTACCCTGATTGTTCAGTCTAGCAAGGTGGGGCTCCCAGTAACCTATGAAAGAGAACAAATACAGTACTTTATTATTGTATGCATATAAAAAGTGAGTGATAGTGTAACTGCCTGAATGTATATGTTTGTTCATTTGTCTCATAGCAATGTGCATTGCAATGCAAAAGTATTTAGCATGTTTTTATCTAGCTATCTTACAACCTGGAATTTAGATGCATTTTTATTTGATTTCAATCAACAGTTACAAAAATACTCCAGATTATTAGTTATATGAGTAAAAATCTCATTTTAAATTATTAAAAACATACAAAACGGAAAAGTGGTGAGTACATAAACTATATTTGCTCCTTTTGCATTGACGTTCCAAAGCTATCCAATTTTATTTAAATAAGATTCACTACAGAGCAGTCTATGTACTAAACAATCGAAACCTGCTAAATAATGTACACCTGTTATAAACAGCCCCTAGAATCTACATCAGTGCAACACCTTTAAGTAGAGGTCTATTACTAAAAATAAAAACAGCATGAAGACAAAGGAACTCCACACATTTCAGAAACAGAATCTTTTAGAGGTACAGATCAGAACTGTTTTATCAGAAGTATTCCAAACCCTGAACATCTCATGGAGCTCCATTCAATTCGTTATTAGGAAATAAAACAAATATGGACCAGTATAAACTGCACAGAGCTGGGCTTTTAGGCAAGAATGGCAGGAAAAAGACATTGCTTAAAAAAAATAAAAAGTTGGATTGCATAGAATTTATTCTCCAAACTCAGAAAAGGGTGCTGTGGTCAGATGAGACCAAACTCCAACGTTTAGGGCCTCAAGTTTAGTACAACCCCAGGTTTGAGGCAAATGTGTGACCTCTTATCAGGCCAAGAACAGCACCTTACTGATATGTTTCAAGCCAGCCTGCTGTGAAATTTCCAGAAACTGGATTTACACACAATTTTTTAGTGATTTATTTACCTGGATGATTGAGCTTACAAACCTTTTTCTGAACCATTTTGGCCAGTTTGTCCTCAGGCTGTTTCTGTGAGTAGAAAGTTGGCCATCTGGCCTAAAACACTGATTGTTATGCACTGATGATCTATTGCTTTAGACTGATGGTCTCCTTTTTGCGTGTGTAAAGTCAGTTTCTGGGAACTCCACAGCAGACTGGTTTGAAACACATCATTAAGGTGCTGTTTATAAGACAGTTTTTGGTTGGCAGGCCTCAGACTGATGAAGTCTTTCAGATGAAGATGAACCACTTCTCCTAAAAAGAAACTGTCCAGAGGACATAATTTAACCTTTGTTTTCTTTTGTAAAACCCAAAACATTTTAATGTTAAGATAATTACAGTTTAAAACTTGGACGCAAAAGGCAGCAGACAATATGCATTCCTTCTAAGAATGCTAGGCATGGTATTAGAAATAATTTTGGTTTAGAGAAATTAACTCTACATATTTAACAAATCTTGTGATATAACTAAAAAAGTTAATCTGTAAGATACATTGATAATGTATGTGTGATTACCTCTGGTGTTGATAGCAGTGATTTGTTTGTTCTTCACACTACCTGACTCAAGACCCAGTGGATGATAGCAGTCTTGAAAATGCACAAAAATATTTCAGTAATGGAACACAGCATGTCAGCATAATGAAAATGCAAAAAGGAAAAGCAAAATTTCAGTTATCTATTGTCTTTAGCAAAAGTTTTGTTAAATTATCAAGATTTTGAAAGAGCACCAGAAAGTAAGGATTCATAGTCAATTTACTTCAATACTGCACAAAACTTAGGACAATACTTAATTTTTAATTTGCCTTTGAATAAATTGACTTGACTGTAATCTGTTTGCACCATTATCAAGAACCAGAAAGAGGGTCTGCATGCCCTTTTGTTGGGTTAAACCAACTTCAGTCTCCAGCTGCCAGAGACCAGGTTTGGATGGATACATCTCCAATGTTGCAAAGCTTCCTGCAAAGAAAAACATAATGTGAACACTAGCTTGATGCTGAAAATACATCAAGAAAGATCAGGATCAAATTACTTACATGCATTCTGACTGAAACTACACTGAAATTTCATCACACAGAACATTTTCTCAGGAACCTTCAATGTATTTCAGTTCTGTTGCATTTTCATCAATGTCTACTGTATTGAAAAATTTCAGACACTGATGTGTGTCAATACTGCATTGCGGAAGTGTTGTAAATGTGCTAACATTTGCTGATTGAACATTGTTGGATTTTATACTTGGATTAATGAGCATGAACTTTTTGGTGTTTTGAACCACTTTGACATGACTGTCGACGAGGGAGAGGATGGGCCCCGGAGGAGAGGGTGTGCCCCAGAGGCCATCTTAGCTCCAACATACATTAACTGTTTTTTTTTCTTCCACTTTGGAATATGCAGTTGGTGGAGAATCAGTTTTGTTTGGTGTTTCCTCAGACTTCTTCAGTTTATTGGATGACGGGAGAAACGTCATAGCACACAAAAGAAACCGTCCAGATGACCTGACTAAACATAGTTAGATTTTATATCTGGATTATTGAGCTTGAACTTTGGTGTACTAACATTAGTTCTATAGTAATACTTGTTATTGTATGTAAGAGCAACCTTCCAACTCAGTTATTGATGTAGTTTTAATTAGCGGAGGACACAGCACACTGCCACCTACAGCAGCAGAGTGAGATTTGGAATGGGACAAGAAAAAGGTCAAACTAGACAGATGTCACTTTAATCTCAGACTGTTTCACATTAGTTATATTTTCATACAAATTTAAGATCTTTATAGTGGGAAATTATAAATGTGAACATTTTTAAATGAGCTGCATGGACAAACAATTTCATGTTCAGCTACCTCTTTGCATGTATGAAAAACAATGAAGAGAACCAGTTAGGACACATCTTGGAATTCTTTCCTGCTTTTCTTCCCCTAGAAATTACTCCTGAATCACTTGTTTGTCTTTTTCCTTTCTTCTCAAATCCCAGTCAGTTGAAGCAGATGGCTGCTCATCCTGAGTCTACTTCTGCTGGTAGTTTCTTTCTTTTAAAAGGGAGTTTTTCTTGTCCACTGTCGCCAGTGCGCTGCTCAAGATGGGGGATTGTTCCAAAGTGAAGATTCAACACAATCTGCTGACTTCCTTAGATAGAGAACATTTATGAATTGGCCTTTCATTATCTACTCTGGGCGGCACAGTGGCTCAGTTGGTAGAGCTGTTGCCTCTCAGCGAGGGGGTCGCTAGTTCAAATCCCAGCTGGGGCCTTTCTGGGTGGAGTTTGCATGTTCTCTCCGTGCATATGTGGGTTTTCTCCAGGTACTCCGGTTTCCCAGATAAAACAACATGTATGTTAGGCTGATTGGTAACTCTAAATTGTCTCTAGGTGTGAGTGAGAGAGTGAATGGTTGTCTCTATGTGTCCCTGTGATGGACTGGAGACCTGTCCAGGGTGTCCCCTGCCTCTCGCACATGATAGCTGGATATGAGCACCAGTGATCCCTGTGACCCAAAAAGGAAGAAGCGGGTAAAGATGATGGATGGATGGCTGGCTGGCTGGCTGGCTGGCTGGCTGGCTGGCTGGATGGATGGATGGATGGATGGATGGATGGATGGATGGATGGATGGATAATCTACTCTACGAGAATCTATTGGATTATAATAGGAATTGAACTGACTGTAACTGGATTTGAATGTGAATCTGAAATAGACTTATGAGTTGGACTTTTTCTTTTGTATATCTGAGACTATTTATGACGCTAAATAAATAAGCAGAATTAATAAAGTAGAAAATGACCTCCCATAACAAGCTTGTTCCTTAAAAAAAAAAGTGACTGAATTACACCTTTTGGATTTCTTACCTGGCAACAGAGGGTGCACAGCTTGTCTGTAGTCTTTGGTCTTCTTGTGGATGAATGTCTGTCCATGAAAGTGAATACTTTGAAAATCTTTGGGAGAGCCCATATTGATCAGGTGCCAGCGCACAAGCTGTTTGGTGTACATCCTCAAGCCCTTAAGGCTGTATATTATTCCATTGATAGCTACAAAAACACCATAAAAGATATCAAACAATAATTTTTTGGATGAATTTTTCTTTTCTTTATCAGTTGGTCAAAAGTTAAATTGTTGCATTTTAACTTGCAGATTAGTGTCAAAACAACTACTGTATGTGTGGAAGTATTTATTTTAACTTGTTGTATTACTTATGATTCTCATCTATTAAGTTAAAACAAAAGTTAAAAAGAGGACGTGTTACTGTGGAACTTGAAGTTCTCCTTGAAGTTGGTTTCCATAATTCTTCTTCGGCTCTTCCGCTGAACAAGCTCATAGTTCTTGCTGTAGTACCAGCTCTGTGACTCATCAAAAGTCATGAAAAGGAGCACAAACTCCCTCATTCTGTGTAGAGTGTTGTTCTGTAGGGTGCCTTCCCGACATACCAGCAAAGGTCCAATTAAGCCTGAATGAATGTCTCTTTCCTATAAATAAATAAATACATTTTAAAATCATCAATACATATATGTTATAACTACTTTATGTAACATTGAATGTTGTTTTTTAAATAGTAAGTACTCACAGGATTGACACCTGAGTAATATGCCCAGGTCCGACATAGAGACTCCTCTGATGATGGACCAACTGCAGAACTGACTTTCCATAAATATGTGAAAGTAGTATTGGGTTGAACCTCGTTGTCATATTTGTACCAGTATTTGGAACCATCTTCGTAGGACAGACCCTCAGACTGCTTTGTATAGGAAACCCCATTAGGATGTAAAGAGTATGGTCGCGTTGCCTTATTGTTGAAAACAATCTGCAAGTAAAGAAGACTGCAGTTGTATTTGAGTACTTAAAACTGCAAACACATTTGACACATTTGAGTTATTAAGACACGTTTAATAAATGTATGTACTTATATCTATTGTTGAGTATCAGTTAGTTTACAGTGGGTGGAAAAAAAACTCTTTGAAAAGCTGATAGATGGATTTTGCCACCTTTGGTCAGAGCATGGCTTGTTGTTTGTAAAAGTTCAAAATGTATTTTAATCTGAAAAGTTAAGTAAACTTGCTATGATTTCCAAAAGGCATACACGTTCCTTAAGTTTTTGGAACCATCTTTAGCCATTTGAAAATATTAACTATAGAAAATAGTCAAAACCAAACTGTGGGCAGAAAACAGAACACCTCAGAGTCAGAGGCATGGCTATGGGTAGGACGGGCTTACAGTAGTTCAACCTCTTTATCAAGGCCCACTTAGAAAATATCTTATATTTTCTTTTTTGCACTTAATTTCTTAAAATAACTTAAGAAAGAAGGTTCTAGGCTAGCAATAAAAAAACTTACAAAATAATTTATTTGCTATATTTCTATTTTAAGCTCTTTAATTTTTATGATCTACTTGTATATTGCAGATTTATTATACATGATCTGTATTTAATGTTCTATATAGCTGCTGTGTCTGAAGCCAGTTAGTTCAAAAGGAGCTTTCTATATGTCAGCATTGCCAAGGTATGCACCAGTATGCACAAGTGGTTCCCAAAGTTGGGTGCAGGACCACACTGAATCATTCCTACAAAACTTGTTTTCAATTGGTTAGTGGGTTGAACTGGTGTGAATCTGCATTAATAATGTGCAAGACAAACAGACAAAATACAAATATATCAATTATTTTCATAAACTATTTTTAAAAACACAATAAACCAGTATTTTGTGTTTTATAGTACATTTTCAGCTGATTTGACACATCACCACATGGTTTTCTTACACCAGTAAAAGCTGGTGTCCATTTAAATATCCCCTCTCAATGTGATGATCCAGTTACAAACTCAATCTTATTGTTGAATAAATATTGACAATAGTTAAGTAATAAAATGTGAACTGATTAATATGTTTACTTCTCATTAATGTAGCACATTCAACAAACAAAGTTTGCCTTCCAATTAGAAGTTTTATAATTAGTATTATGAAAAGAATATGTGACACGCTGTCTAGTGGTGGTACTTTGTACAAATGTGCATCAGTTTTCATTAAGTTATCTTGAACACATCAGAAATTAAGGCTCGCACAAGAGACTATATCAAATTACATCTGCCTTTCAATGGACATATAAAAACAACTGCAGAATTAATGTCAGTTCTTGTGACAGGCTAAACTTTAGAATTTTGCAGTGTAAATAAAGGAAATTGATTTATTATGATTTATGGATTTTAAAATGCTTTATCATATCAACATTTTGTACCTTGATTTATTTAAGTCAAGGAACGCAATCTTGGTATAACAAAACATTTTTTCATCCTCTTACAAAGGAAATTGGTTTTGAAATAAACCTTATGAAATTTTAATTTTAACAGTTACAGCTACAAGCATGTCAAACTTAGCATATTTGTAAAATGGCTGAGTTATATACATTTCTTTGTTTCCACTGTCATCTGTCTGTGGCAGCCATCTTGAGTCTTATTACTTTCATTACAATACAGCAAAATTTGTCTATTGCATTATTAAATTAGGTAAAACACATCAAATAAATGTCTACTACTAGCTGTCTTACCATGATGGTTTGTCCAACCTCAGCTTTGATGACAGGGCCCAGGATGCCTAGATGCTCATCCATCTCTCCACGGATGTCAGGAGTTGTAAAGCTACTATCCAGGTAACCTCTGAAAACTACCTTGGTGAATTTAGTTTCTTGATTGTTAAATTGTGACTTTTCTAGTCTCCTGTGTCAATAAGAAAATCTCTCTTTAGTTATGGTGAAGTTATACTTAACATATAATATTAATTCAAAGTAGTTACAGTGTATTTTGTTCAGTCATATAAGCTCTACTTATACTTTTATTTCTGAGCTTACCTTTGCCCATAGCCAGCATAGTCCCATTCAACCTCCTCTGCAGCAAGAAAATATGTCTTGACATTTGGGCCTGATAACTTCCCATAGTACTTGCTACTTTCATCCAGGTTAAGAGTCTTTAAATCTTCGTGACTGCTGTATGGGTCTTTGTACATCACATACTCGTATTCATTTAGGGTCACATCTGGTTGATTCACTTCAAGATGATCTGGTCCATCTCCGGGATACAGATCATACTCACTGAAATCAGGTCGTGGCACACCGATGACCACAGGCATATTAATCAACTGCTCCTCATCAGAGACAGGCTGTGGTGAAGAGGGCCTTGCTCCACGGGGGTTCATACCTGGATTGAATCCTCGAGGTGAGAAGGGTAAACCACTCCTGGCCTGAGGCTGGTATTCCTTCCTCCTCCTTGTTTTCATGCCATGGCCTTTTTTGGGTTTTTGTCGGAGATTGACTTTCTTGGACTTTTTAGGAGGTGGAGTTGTTTGAGGCACCTCACTCTCATAGTATTTCTTCATGTGGTCAGGAATCTCTTGAGGTACTATAGAATGGGTTCCATCATAAGTCCAATTGTGTCCTTGTAATTTGATGGAGGACGTTTTAATGGTGTGTGTTATGTTTTCTTTATGGTAGATAAAGAGTTCTTCGCTGTTGTCTGAACCACCTAACTCATCAGAACTGATTGGTTTTATTGTACTATCAGGGAAGGACAGGTTAGTTGAACCTATCTCACTGGAGTAAATATCTGTGAACGATGTATTGGTCAATTCATCAAAAAGTGTTTCGACACCTGTTCTCTCCTTCATGCATCCTAATGGATCTGATATGGATACATTGCCTGTGACATTTTTCATTAACTCATTTTTGGGCAAAATACGTGTTGCATTTTCAAGGCTGGAATTGCCAGGCACAGTCACAACTTCACAATTGTGACTTATCTCTTTGGGCCTTCCTGGCAAATCTGATATGGATATATTCATAGAGACATTTTTCATAGACTCATTTATGAGCAAACTATGTGTAATGATTTCAAGGCTTGAATTGGCAGAATCAATCAGTAGTGCTGTTGTGTTCAAATAATTACTCTCATTACTGGTTGTGTTCATAACCTCCAACTCAAAGGTGGTCAAGTTATTTCTGAATATATTGCTGATGTTAATCCCTTCAACATCAAGTGCTTGTACAGACAAAGAATGATTTGTTCCAACTGCTGACTTGTTCAAATGCTTTGCTGAAGTGTCATTATTATGCTCCATTGTTGTATTTTGTAAAAAAGTGACTTCATCTTCATTGATTTTTTGGATAGTGTTTAAAGTGTCAATGTTGGATTTAGATAAAAGCACACTATAAAAAAACATGTCCCTTCTAGAAAGTTCTTCTTCAGAGTTCTCAGGATTTATGTCTGTAGACACATAGTTGTCACCAGACAGGTTTACATTCATTGTTCTACTTTTTGAGATAAAGGTTGAATTTACTGGCAATGTCACAGAGAGATCTGTAGTTTCTTGTAATGGTGTGGTTAAATTTATGGCCTTTTGTATCTCCATGGTTTGAATAGTTGTCTGTTGTATTGCCATGGCATGTTTGGTGGATTCTTGTAGAGCAGCAGTATAATTGTTTGCAAACACATTTCCAAGAACTGTAGCATTCTGAGCTGTTGTATTTACTGTGTCAAGAACAGAAATGTTAACAGAACTTGAAACGACTGCAGAAACCGTCTTATTTGTAAATGGCATACTGTTATTCTGTAGTAATTCATTTTGGTCATTGAAAAATATTGTACTCTCCGTTTGTTGCACTGAAGAATTGTCAAAAATGGTATTTGTAATGTTTCTTTGTATATGTGGTGCATTCCCACTAAAGTTGAAATTCTGTATATAAGAATTAGTAAGATTTAGGTTCTCAACCTCTTTCCAGTTTGAAAAATGTGTATTATTCATTGCCTCCAGCTTTGAAGTGAAGCCAGTTTTATTTGTTGTCTCCTTAAAATTGAAGCTGATGTTCATACTTCCAAGAGGCACATCAATAGCATCATAATCTAAATAAGACAAGTCCAGTTTCTCTACATCTGAGCCATTGACCTGGTTTTTCAGGGACCTGAGATCTAATTCTTCTGCATATCTGTCTGTGTCATAATCTGGCTCTTTTGTTGCTTGTGTTACTTGTTTTGGCTTCTCTTCTTTTTTGTTGGTTGTAATATTATTTGGTTTCCATATATTAAATACCGCTTTTGGTACTTCATAATCATACTCGTACTGGTAGTCACGGTAGCACTCAACATCTTGGAACTTCACACGCATTCCTTTTGTTGTTTCATGGGAATTTAGGGAAGCCAAAAGCCAGACACCTTTTGCAAGATAGACATACAAATCTTTCATTAAGGACCAAGTAAAACAAATGACTGGATATAAATATCTGACAAAACAGGCACTGCCAGGTGTGACTTACCAATGTTGTCCATGTTCATGGTGATGGTCTCCCCAGCCATAGGATAGAGGCTGAGAAAGTCCTCTGTTCTCTCATTTAGTTCAAAATGATGACCATAGAAAGTAGCTGTCTGAATGTAGTCTTGGGCTCCAATGCTTGACACATGCCATGTTGCAACCTCACCATTGCAGAAGCCTAAGAGTGGCCCACTCTCAAAGGCATAACCATTTATTGCTTTAAGAAAAATACAATGAAAATTAGTTGTCTGACCAAAAGGTGTAAGGCAGTATCTTACTGAGCTATGAATCAAAATAGTACAGAAAATAGGGGAATTTTTCATTGAAGTCTCATGGAATTCTAGGAGTTTGTGACCAAGTGACCAATCCGCTGTGGGGTTTGAGTGGCTTGGTTGTGAAAATGTACAGATGATTTTTACGTGTGTATAGGTTGCAAAACTGCATTCTTGGCCATACACGCTATTTTATTGTCTACCTTTGCTTATGTGCAGAAGTTGAAATACAGTTCTAATTGTGTTAGTGAAATACCTGATGAACCAGTTAATGTATTTTAATAAAACTTTCCAATTGATTGCAGCTCAGTAAGATATTACTTTTAGGTTAATCAGATATGGCTGAATGTTCATCTATAGTGCAACTGATTAATTTTAGAGTCAACTCCATCAGTAGTGTAGTCTACATTTTTGTAGTGGGTATGCTGTGCTTAGAAACCAAAGTACACCAATTAGTACAATGTAATCGTTAATATATTTTGATTTTTAAGCATATTGAACATTTCAAAATTTCTCTGACGCTTTTTTGAATAAATGTACAACAAACTTAGTACAACAGTTTGCTTTGTATTAAAAATGTTATAGAAAGTTTTTAGTATTCTAGTATTCTACACCACTTTACAATTTAGCTGCTTTTTTAATTCTTTTTTTAAAAATACCACTTTCTTTCAGTTTTTCTTTCATTTACTGGTATTCTTCTCAATTTACATGCTTTCGTTTATGATTGTCTATTGTTGTCTACTACTGTCATCATTCTTTGTTAAAAACAAGTAGCTCTTGTAAATGAGTCCACAAGGTTCAATGAGACTAACCTGTATAAATAAAGGTTGAATGAATAAAACAGTATCAAAGCAAAACATGTTCAAGTATTAAGTAGTAAGTACAGAAATATTAATTATACAAAAAAACAGGTTGAACCAACTCAGTGTGTCTATGAAATGTTCCATATGTATTGACACTGACACCAGCCCATGTCATGTATCATTTGCTAATGATACATGACATGGGCTTGTGTCACTGGGCACTTTTAAGTGGGTATACTGAAATTCCCAAGCTTTTCTAGTGGGTATACTCCATATGCCCGTGTATCACATAGACTACACCACTGAACTCAATACAAGATGGCTGCAACATATAAATGACCTTAATATTTATAACAACCTAGCAGGGTTATTTTTTGTAAAATGTTTTTTAAAACCATTTTATTTTCACTTTTAATTCTCAATTTGTATGCATTCTTTATGATTGTCTATCGTTGCCTTTGTTGTCCACTGTTGTCATCACGCTGTTAAAATCAGGTCTCTCTTATAAATGAGTCCCCGAGGTTCAATGGGATTAATCTGTATAAATAAAGGTTGAATGAAAAAAAACAAAAACAGTTATTGATTGAATTTATAATTATTGATTTTAAAGTTACTGAGCTAATGTTTGGTGTGGCAGGTAAGGATTTTCTTCCACTCATATTCCAATCTCTACGTATTGTGTGACATCTTTGCTCATAATGTTGGCATTAACAGATTCAACTCTGTCTGTTGGCAAATATTTCATGATCCACAGGACATATTTCAACAAAACTTTTAGAAAGTAATAATTGGATAGTCATTCACAAGTGATTAACATTTGAAGCCAAAACAATATATAGCTGTGGCTGAATGGTTAGAGCAGTCGTCCTCCAATGTGAGAGTTGGGGGTTCGAATCCACCAGCAGTCACATGTCGAAGTGTTCCTGGGCAAGACACTGAACCCCTCATAGCCTCTGATGTGTGTCCCATCTGTGTATGAATGTGATAAAGCTCTGATTAGTCTCTTTAGAATGATTTGTTCAATTAGCTTTGTAGAGATCTAGTAGAGTGCTGTATGAATGGGTAAATGAGGACACAGATTGTAGTGTAAAGCGCTTTGAGTATCTTGAAATAAGATAGAAAAGCGTTATTAAGTACAGTCCATTTACCATTTATATATGTATATATATATATATATATATATATATATATATATATATATATATATATATATATATATATATATTACATAAAAGTAGTATTTCACTGAGGGAGGGCTGTGATCAGTCTTACATCGGGGAAACTAAACAGCCACTGGCCAAAAGGATGGCCCAGCACAGTAGAGCAACAACATCAGGCCAGGACTCTGCAGTCTACACTCATCTCCAGACCAGTGGTCACTCTTTCAGGTATGAAGATGTGCACATCCTGGATAGAGAGGAACGATGGTTTGAGAGAGGAGTAAAGGAGGCCAACTTTGTGAAAAGAAATCATCCATCATTAAACAGGGGTGGAGGCCTCCGTGTTCAACTGTCCCCCTCTTACAATGCTGTTATTGCTAGTATCACTCAGCCCCATGTGAATAGTAAACAGCCATCAGGGTGCTAATGATCCATTGTTAGATTGGTGGTCCTTCTTGATCATGTGAGCAGCTGGTTTTGGTTGTTAGCAGCAAACTGGTTGATCCACTCTGAGAAGGTGCTATTTATAAGACTGAACTGAATACAGCACCTCAGACTGAGGAAGTCTTTCGGATGAAAGACGAAACATTTCTACATTTTTTTGTTGTTGCTGTTTTGATTTGCTTTTTTGTTTTTTTAATGTCTAGAGGACCAGATTTAACTTTTTTAGATTTTTCTACCTGGATTATTGAGCGTGCATCAGGATATTTTGAATCACTTTGGCCAGGATTGCCTAAAACTAGTTAGAGAGTTTGAGAAAACAGCAAGGAAGAGGCCAGACTACAGGAACCACTTGCAATTCAACCTCAGATGTCGACAAAGTGGCATCATTCCTAAGAGCCTGGAACTAAAATCTTCGGTCAGCGGGCACTGGGCAAGCAAGATCCTTCAGAAGGCACAGACCCAGCTGCTGAATGAACGGGTGAGACAGACCAATTTTACTATTGAGGCCTTGAAGGCCAAAGAAGAGCACATTAAACAAAAACTAACAACATGCCTAGATCAGACCACACTTCAGTAAGTGATGGACTGTACAGATCAGGCACGCTTAGCACAGCATGTCAAGTCCAAGACTCGACAACAAAACAAGTTTAACTTACTAATAACTCATCAACACATCACAATTGCAATAACAACACATTCAGTGTAGGACAACACTCCAGTAGTCAATTACATGCCAGGGAGACAGAAAAGTGGGTGAAGAATTTATCTGGCAGACAGTTCACCCAGCCGGAGACAGAGATTCTTGCCAGGGGACTTAACTTTGCAGTTGCACCAAGTAGAATTCCTCTGGTTGAGATGATCACAGCCACAGAATCAGCCATCCACAACAACAAAAGTAAAGAGGGTGAAGCAGAACAACTCAGAATCAAAGTTTCAGCCTGCCTCAACGATGTCAAACCACCATCTTCCA